AGAGTAGATGCTACAACTATGTTAGCATTCATTGTTTTGTTAGCTAATTCTAGATGGGTCATCTTTGATTCCATGATGCTTGGCACACATGGTTGTTGTACTCCTCTTACACATGGAAATTGTATCTTAAGAAGATTGATAATAGCCCAGTAATTGTTCTTAGGTTTGATTTTGGAGCTTTTGCAAAGCCATTTGTGTTTTGGATGATTAATTACAGTTCCATTCATTGCCCAGTCAGTGCTTTTAAACAGTTCTTAAGCCATCTGACCTTAAGCCAAGGTCAGAAGATCTTGTGAACATAATTGGCTGACTCTGAATGTAGCTTTGTAAAAGACCTCTGCTGAGAAAAAACACTCTGTCATGTTAGGAAGTGAGTTTAGTACTCAAGGTAGTACTTTAGGAAAAGACATATAACTGTGAGACTTTCCTTTAGAAATTAATTGAGGACTGCAAAAAATAATTTTATTATCAGTGGAGACGTGTGAAAAATGTAGTAGTTTGCTAGGGAGCATTGGTGGCGTAGTGCGTAAGGCGTTTGCTGACCAGAAGGCTGGCAGTTCAAACCCACCAGCCACTCCTTGGAAGGAAGGTTGGGCAATCTACTTCCGTAATGTACGGCCTTGGAAACCCAAGGAGGGGGTGGGTCATTATGTATCAGGACTGACTTGAGGGCAGTAATTTTTTTTTTTTTTGGTGAAATTTCTAATGTGAATTACAGATCTCTGAAGTTTTGTAAAGACAGATGGCACAGTAGTTTTACCCCATAACATGACGTTAAATAGGCTTCTAAGTTAAAATTGTTTCTCTTTGGAATTATAGCTTATTAAAGGCCTTCAAGCAGTTATGCCAATGAAAAAACATCAACCTTTAAGACTGTGGGCCAGTCTGTGCTTGAATTTACTTATTGTGGACACTCTTACACTTACTATGCAAAGAATTCCCTGGGGAACATGTTAAAAACACACATCTACTGAGTAGGCATTCTCCAGATTGGGCAGGGCTTTGGAAACGTGTATTTTAAAAAAGTCTGACCCACTTGTTTTGGACATGTCACCAGGAGGGATCAGTTGGACGAGGAGGATGTTATGGTTGGTGAAATAGAGGGCTAGTGAGGGCAAGAAGGACCTACAGTGGCATGGATTGGCCCACTGGCTCCAACAGTGCCCTTGAACATGCTGGCAGAACTGGGGCAGTGTTTCATTTGTACATGAGGTTGCCATGAGTTGGAGTCATCTTGGTGGCAGCTATCTGTTTAGTTGTGATGATACATATTTTACGTAATTTCTTTAGATGCTTAGACTAAATTCAAAGTTGGGAAATCTTTTCTCCTTATGTTTAAAGTCTTAAGCGCTTTTAGGCTTTAAAGTCAGTGGTAGATAAAAATTCCTATTGTCAAAATTATCCTTTATCTCTTTCCCATTGAGAACAGATAAAGTAGTTAGCTTATGTAATGACTCTCAAACTTTAGTGTGCATCAGAATCACCAGCAGAGCATGTGAAAGTTTCTGATTCAGTATATCTGGGTTGGGAGCTGAGAGCTTGCCTTTCTAACAGATTTCCAGAGATGCTGATACTACTGAAACAGGGACCACATTTTGAAAACAACTGGTTTGTAGTTAGGGGCCACATTGCAAGGAGACTTAATTTTTTGTTTGTTTGTTAACCAATAACCTTTATTTTTTATTTTTTAAAATTTTTATTGTGATTTGGGTGAAAGTTTACAGAGCAAATTCATTTTCCATACAGCAGTTCATATACATGACATTGACTGCAATTCCCTACCATGTAACAGCTCTCTTCCCACTTCCTTCCTGTAATTACCTTTTCCCTGTGTCCTTCCTTACCATGCACTTCCGCCCCCTGACCTTCTAGTCTCTCATGATTGAGTGCTGCAAGGAGTGTATCTACCTGATGTAAATGTTCACCCCATATGCCTGTCTTTTGTTTGGCTGGAAGCCATAGGAGTGAGTTCAATTCCAGACCTGAAGGGTAGCTAGGGGCCATAGTTTCAGGAGTCTTTTTTTTTAAATGATTTTGACTTTTGTTCCACATAGTTCTCCCTCTCTATCCAGGACCTCCTTGACTGCTCCCCCTCTGAGTGGTTGACAGTGGTAGCTGGGTACTATCTAGTTCTTCTGGTCTCATGGTCATATAAGCTGAGGATCACATGGTGTACCAGTCCCTTGGAGTAATTGTTTCCATGCATCTTTGATTTTCTTCATTCTTTGCTCTGGATGAGCAGAGATCCATCGTTGCATCTAGATGGCTGCTTGCAAGCTTTGAAGATCCCAGTCGCTACTCACCAATGTAGGATGTAGAACAGTGTTTTTTTGTAGTATGTTACTCCAGTTGAGCTTGTGACCATGGTCCTGAGAAAACTTAATTTGTATGTGTATGTGTATGTCTGTGTGGCCCTGGAAAGACCTTTCTAAGTAAGTGCTACTTGAGCGATTCTTTTCCCCCCTTCACCGAAATTTGATATGTGTGTCCCCTGTCTAGTTTGTGGTTTAGTCTCCCATCTCCACTCATCCCTGGTAACTGTCAAAGAATATCTCTTTTTTTGTGAAACACTTCTTTACTTTATTAATAGCGGTTTCATACAATATTTGCGATTGACTAACTTCACTCAGCATAATGGCCTCTAAGATCATCCATGCTAAGATGTTTTGCAGATTCATCATAAGACAACTATTAATCTTAAAGCTCTAGCTTCACACTGGGCAGGTGAGCTGCATGTGCCAGGAGAGCATTTGGGAAGTGAGTCCAGCTATAAGAAGTGCTGTTTCACACCTCCTACTTCATGATTGAATCTGTGTATATGGCGAAGTGCCTCAGGAACTTGACTGCTAACCAGGAGGCTGGTGATTCAGACCCACCAGCCACTCCTCAGAAGAAAGATTGGGCAATCTACTTCCGTAGTGATACTGCCTCGGAAACCCATGGAGGGGTCGCTGTGAGTCGAATCCGACTCTACAACAATGACTTTGGTTTTTGGGTTTTAGTATATGCTTAATGAACAGAATAGTGTGTAGAATTGTCCACATTAACTTAAACTTTTTTTGTCTTTAAAAACCAAGTGAATATAGTTGAATTTATGCACAGTAAACTTGTGTGTGATGAACACTATTGAGTATTTCTTAGTATGGCAGGCACCTGTCTTGTCTTCTCTTCTGGGTAGTAAGCAAGTCCCTTCAGAGTTGTGAGTGTGCCTCACTTCTCAGGGCTGTCTCAGCCTGGATCTGTATAATTGGTATTTAAATACTTACTGATAACCTAATTTCAACATGATAGATTAAAAGTGACTTCAAATTTCTCTGCTTGTGTTTTCTTGTCTCTAAATGGAAATCTTTGTTTTTTGGACTTGTTTATGGCTTCAATTTTAGCTATATGTTTGTTAGTTTTAAAAAATTAACTTAAAGAGCACAGCTTCTACCTAAAAGTTCATTTCCTTTCCACAGAGGATGTTTTCATTTCAAAGTAAATGCTTAAATGAAGTTGTTAGTTGGGGAATGTGCATGATTCTCCACTTCTTACTTCATTGTAACCATCTAGACAGTTGTCAGAAATGCCATCTCTGATTTGTGACTCCTTATAATATTTTTACTGTTTTGGGTTTGTTCATGTTATGAGATACGGGCTTCACAAAGTCAGAGAAACAGGTCTTAAAAATATTTGTGGCAGCTTTGATACCTGTAAAGCACTGTTCTGGATGTATACCAAAAAACGAAACTTACTGGTGTTGAGTCGGATATGACTCATAGTGACCCTCCTTGGGGTTTCTGAGGCAGTATTACTATGGAAGCGGATTGCCCAGTCTTCCTTAAAATTAAGTGACACTGTTTTTGTGTACCACAAGGAGCTCTGATGGCACAGTGGTTAAGTGCTCAGCTACTAACCAAGAAGTTGATGGTTCAAACCCCCTGGTCGCTCTGTAGGAGAAAGATGTGGGAGTCTCTTTCTGTAAGATTTACAATCTTGGAAACCTTATGGGGCACTTCTCCTCTGTCCTGTAGGATCACTATGAGTCAGTATTGATCCAATGGCAGCGGGTTTGGTTTTGGTTTTGGTAACTTGGTGAAGAGGGAGTGAGCTTTATCCTTCAAACTGCTTTAACATTTGCTGTAAATAGTGAGTCAGAAGAACAAGCAGTGTGTCTGGATTCCTTAGAGATGAGTGTGTCTATAAGCCTAATGGCAGAATTGGCAGGAGAAGGGAGAGTATGGAACTGAGAATTAGTGAATTAGTCATGAAAATCTTTAGGGAGCATCGAACAGAAAGGTTTTGGTAGCAACAACTATATGATAGGCTCCCATTTTGAGATAAATTACTTTATCCAGAGTTCCAAATGTTTTATCTGTTCTTGTTTGATCTGTGTTTTATCCAAATGCTGGGGGAGCTCTGGTGGTATAGTGCCTAAGGCACTTGACTGCCAACCAGAAGGCTGCCGGTTCAAACCCACCAGCACTCCTCGGAAGTAAGACTGGGCAATCTACTTCCATAGAGATGCCGCCTTGGAAGTCCAAGGAGGGGTAACTATGAGTCAGAATTGATTCAACGGCAGTGAGTGAAGAGGAGGCAAAGCATGAATTCGTTGTTTTGGGGATTGTATCATATAAAGAAAGGTATAATAGAGGAGGCAAAGAGGGCCAGAACCAAGTTCTTCACAGTTTGGTTACTCTAAGCAAAGCATTCACTCAGGAACATTGTTCAGCCCTTTTAGGACAAGATTAGGAAATGAAAAACTTAAGGTTTGAGTCAGCTTGTGCTCAAAATACCTGAACCAGTGAGAGAGCCTTCTTTATTTTATATGAGTAGGACTTACTTGCACTTTGAGCTGTGTGGAAGCAGAAAGAATAGTAGGAAGAACATGATCACTTTTACTTTTGTTATAAGCAAACCCTTAATATCAGTGGGACATTTCTAAAGTTAGTGACTTTTTAAATTTGCAAAAATAGAAAACATGTATTATATCTAATTATCTGATTTCCCCCCTTTTCTAGGAGGTGTGATTGCCTATATCAGTTCTTCCAGCTCAGCCTCTAGCCCTGCCTCTTGTCACAGTGAGGGTTCTGAGAGTAGTTTCCAGTCCTCCTCTTCTGTTCCATCTTCTCCAAATAGCTCTAACTCTGATAACAATGGTAATCCCAAGAATGGTGATCTCTCCAATATTGAAGGCATCTTGAAGAATGATCGAGTAGATTGTTCTATGAAAACAAACAAATCGAGTGTACCTGGGATAACAAAGAGTCATAGTGGAGTAACAAGTAAGTTACTTTAGTTTTCTAAAAGTTGCCACTGTTAATTGCAGATGGGGCTTATTTTATCAACTTTCATTTTGGGGACCATTATATGTATTTCATGTTTTCTCTCCCACTGGGTAATCATAGTCCGGTAGTTAGGTAAGAAATCAATTATAACATAATTGATTCTTCTCCTAGAGTAAGACAGGTGGTTGTGTACTCTGCCTGCCCATGTTTCTTCTGGGGCACTTCCTTTTACACATTTTCACAGATACCTCTCACTGGACTTCTAGTACTGAATCTTGTCCAGAAAAGAGTTCTTACTTGTGATAAGGGTTTTACTTTCATGAAGTTGGAGCTGGGAACATTTGTAATTAGGAAACAAAGAAGGATTGGGATAATCAAATGAGTAGTGGGCCTTGGACCCTTAAGTGAGCGTGGAAGTAAGAAGAACTGCTACAGGAGAGGGTGAGGAAGCAGTGGAACCTGTCTGGCTCCTGTAGGTGAATGGAACTGAGTGTGTGCACAGCTGCTGTGGTGACATCCTTTTGTATATTTTATTGATTGACTTCTCTGCCTCACTTCTTAATTCTTATCCATGAGGATTGTTTTCTTAATTCTGATTGCATATCTGGTTTAAAGTAACTCTAGATTTATAAAATTTCAGTGTATATTTAAAGTCATCAGGAAAGGAAAAACTTAGCTCTGAGGTATTTTTAGCAATCCCATAAGATGTGTTTAAAAGAAAACGATGATTTCTTTGGATTTGATGTAAATATTTTTTTTTCTTTTACTTTATAAAAGTGGATAAGTACTTTCTTAAAAATGTATTCACAAATTGAATGAAATAAAATATTCAATTGAAAGAAAACAAATGGTTTCAAAAACAAAACAGTGTTTCTTCTAGCTTTTCACTTGGTGTCTGTTTGTGCCCTAGAATTTAGTGGCATGGTTCTACTCTGTAAAGTCTGTGGGGATGTGGCATCAGGATTCCACTATGGAGTTCATGCTTGTGAAGGCTGTAAGGTAAAACATTCTTATGTGTCTTAAGGCTAGTGATTCTGGGATTAAAGAAATTGGGGTTAAATTTGCCAGTTTCCACATCTGATAATCTGAAAGGGCCCAAGAAACCAGCTGTTAACCTCTTAAGTTTTAAGCATGTTATATAGTGTATAAACATTTTTACATTATAAAACAAGTTATATAAACATAATTTGTTTTGAAAAATATTTTTAATTCAGTGCAAGAATTCCTTTTTAAGATTTAATTAAAATACATTTATTATCTTAGGTAAACATTACTCTGGTAGGAAACCCAAGTGCACAAAAGATTATTCATTGTGTGTCAGCCACTGTTCCAGGTGATAGGGAAATAGCAAGGGGCAAAACAGACCAGGCACTAATGTCTTGTTGACACTTAGGTCTCATCACATACTTTGAAATTCTGACATGTTAGGTACTGGGAGTTAGGAATGATTCCTAGGTAATTGTGAAAATGTGGTATCTTCAGAAGTAATCCCAAGTAAGTAAAATAATCTTAAATATAAATTGGGCACTTGAGAAAGTTACATTTAATTTATATATTTAGTAGGATATTTCTTGATTATCATCATGGAGTACTGATGCCAAAGGGGCAGGGAGGCTGCATCTTCTGACCTCCTCTAACCCCACAAGAGGAAAACAGAATCACCATCAGTAGCCCAAGGCCTATTCCTGCGAGGTCAGACACGCCACCTCTCTCTAGCCCTTTCACCAACACTGACACCAGCCATTTCTCCCGCAGCACCGACCACTTCTCAGCTGTGCTTGCTAATTCACTGTAGTGGCCACACAGAACTCACAGATTATGGGGTTTATTAGAGAAGCAACAGGCTACAATTCAAGTTCAGGAACATGCTCAGTCTCTCTTAGCCTGCCGTCTGTCAGCCGACAGTCTCTCTTAGTCTCTCTCCCAGCAGTGCGTGTCTCTAAGCAGCGCGTGTCTCTTGCATCTCTCTCTCAGCAATGCGTGTCTCTCGCATCTCTCAGCTGGCAGTGAGAGATATCTTCTGTCTCTGCGAGGGCTCCTTTTGAGCCTGGCGGAGTGGCAAACTAACCAATTCCAGCATCAGAATCTATACACCTGAGAGAGAGTGAACTTCCCAGAAAATTACTTAGTGCTGCTCTCAACAGAAATACTGCAGGTGAAGAACTTTAACAATCAGGAGCTACTTAATTGCTCACAGAAGATTCCACCATGAACTTTACAAAAACTTATGGCTAGAAAAGCTGCACTATGTAATTTACTACACTGTAGTTGTTCAGATCATTCCATGTGAGATAAAGTCTGTAGTTCCCTAATTATACCCAGGGGATCGCTTCCTTTTTTTTTTTTTTTAATTATTTGGCACAATCCTTTCTTCTGAGTATCAGCAATTAATGTGACAAGACACTTGTTCTTGAAATTTTCTGACTTAAAGCCAGAAGTGGGAATCCAGTTTGGTAGGGTATAGTGGGTGAGCAAGATAATGAACATACATGATGAAAGAGGAAGTACTTTCTAGAGTGGGTGAGTGAGTTACTAGCTCTTAATGGCTAGATCACTTCACAAGACTGTTGTTGGGTGCTGTTGAAGTAGGTGCAGTTGGAGCCCAGCAACCATTCTGAGATAAAAGACCTGGCTATCTGTTCCCATAAGATTTTATCCTAGGAAACCTTAGGTTTCCATTACTATGAGGCAGCATCAACAGCACACAACAGCATTGCTCCATAGTAATAAAGTATGAAACTGTTGTATCCCATAGCTACTTAATATAAATTTGTAAAATGTGTGATTTATAATGATATTTAAGGAAAATGTAGTATATATTATTGGTAATTGTGTTCTTGAGATTTCTCTTCTCCCTGGAACCATTAAAGCTAGAGATCTTTGAAGATCTATCACAGAGCATGCATTTAAATTGTTTTTGTACTAACGGCAGCCATTTGTAGTCATCCACCTTCTGAAACTATCTTTGGGACATAAATGGGCAAGTAGCATAGCACTTACCTGTGGCTGACATGTAGCCAGGAATATGTGGCACATACACGTAGGTCTTGCTGATGTCATCAGGTTTTCACCCAGGAAAGACCAAACTTTATTAACAGAAGAACTCACTGAGTTCTAGTGAGGGCCTTTACAGCTATTGAACATGTATCACTGTCAGCTCTTTAGGAATCAGTAATTTATGTTTCAGTGGTTTTAGAATTTGTATGGAACCAGTTAAATTCTGTGCATCAGTATTATATTTGTCATTGTTCTTAGCCACAGTTATTTCCTAGTCATATACTAGATAGTTAAGCTTGAGGGCAGTGCTTATAAGGAGTTCATCCAGATGTTTTAAATGCATGGGTCCATCTTCCTTTGTTCTTAGGGTTTCTTTCGGAGAAGCATTCAGCAAAACATCCAGTATAAGAAGTGCCTGAAGAATGAAAACTGCTCTATCATGAGAATGAATAGGAACAGATGTCAGCAGTGTCGCTTCAAAAAGTGTTTGTCTGTTGGAATGTCAAGAGATGGTATGTTCCTAGTTTAAAGAGTGCTCTTCTTAAAGCATGTGGAGCTCAACTTTTATTCTGAGCATAAACCAGAACTAGAAGCTAGTTACCAGTGTCCCTCTTGTGCTTAGAGTGAAGCTGATTTCAGAAAAACACTTTCTGATACCTTGTAGGAAGCTTAATTCATTAAAGTCAAATTTTAGCATTATCATCCCAGAACAACTTTTGGCTCAACTTCTTTTGTTAAAAAGATCTGTTTTTTTCTTATAAAATTTATTACTCTGCCCCAATCTTTTGTAAAATACTTAGTTTTACTTGATACAAGAGCCTTGTCTTTTTTCCCCTTGATTTCTTAGCATTACTGAGGAACCTGTTTCTCCTTACATGAATTATTTCTCTCACTTTCCAGCCCTTAGATGATAATGTGCTTCTGGGGCTCAGATTATGAATGCATGGAAAGAAGATGCAAAATTGACAGAAACATTTGGGTCTGGAGTGAAAATGTTTGCTTAATTTTGGCATAATCTGTTCTCATAAAACTAAAAAGTTGTGATAATTTGTGCAGCTATTAGTTTTATCTGTAGATGACATCTTCGGAAGATTTGACTTACGATTTGTGCTTAGGAATATGATTTTTGGATGGTCTCATTTTGTTCTAAGTAGCATAACAAGTTTCAGAGGCATTAGTGTAAAACCCACTGCTGTGGAGGTGGTTTTGACTCATAGTGACCTTATAGGATAGAGTAGAACTGCCCAATAGGGTTTCCAACACTGTAAAGATGGAAGCAGACTGCCTTATCTTTCTCCTGTGGGGTGACTATCAGTTTGAATCACTGACCTTTTGGTTAGCTGCTGAATGCCTTAACCACTGTGCCACCAGAGCTCTTTAGAGGGGTTAGTCTAGTGGATTAATTAAGAAATGCTGAAAATGAACCTGATATTTATCCAGGAAAGGTTACCCTAACTAGTGTCTTGTTGATGGAGAAAAAAGAATGCACTAAATAATTTTTTCCGTAATTGATGTTTTGGTTTTCAGTTGCCTGACTTTTTTTTTTTTTTAAATAGCACTAGAAATGCTAATCCAAGGTTGGTGGGTTTTGTGCTTGCTCCAAAAGAATGATTGTAATCATTTGTAAAAGGAAGCAGTAGAGATAGAGTGTGAGACAGGATAAAATTGTTTGTCTTTGATAATGATAATGTGGGAAGCTACCATTAGATTGATAAGACTTTCTTGCTGGGTGGGCATTTGAATTACTATCATCTCTGTATAAATGTTAGTGTAGAAAGAGATTACCCTTTTCTCTCAAGGGTTAGGATTGTTGAAAAACAGGGCACATTCTAAGACTAGCTCCTGAAAGAATGGAAGATGAACAATCTCATTTTTATTTGTTTCATTAATTTTAATTAAACTACAGCAAGTTTATTTTCTAATAACTGTATTTTTTTATTATGTTGTTTTGTTTTAAAGGATTTTCTTTTTCAAGAAGCTAAACAGAAGAGAGGAGGTCATTTACTTGTTGAATTTTGAGAGTAAGGTTACAAAAATGAATTGAAAAGGGGTCTGTTGTTCAGGGAGTGATTGATATCCATTAGGTTCCATTAACATTAATGGATGTGGGTACATGTATCCCACATGCCTTCTTGGGAACAGAGCCCTCAACCTTGTTAATAATGCGTTATTTGGAATGCTGGTCTGCTTCCAACTATGGTTTTCATTAGTTAATCTCATTTTTTTCCTTACATTTACCTTATAAAATACCCAATAGATAGATCTTCTCTTTAGCTTTGTTTTTGGGAAAAAATGGTAAATCTCTCTTCTTACTCCCTATTCCCTTTGGTGCTTCGAAAAATACAGCCAGCAAGTTTAAAATAATTTGGGCCAGAAGCGTATAAACATTCTTTACTTGTATGGCTAGAGGCCATACTTATCAGAGATAATTTTGTGTTATTGTTTTATACTAATAGGTCTTATTTAGACTAAAAACCAATAAAAACTAACTCACTGCTGTAGAGTTGATTCAAACTTATAGCAATCCCTCCTTGGGTTTCGGAGGCAGTATCTATATGGAAGTAGATTGCCTAGTCTTCCTTCTGAGAGTGGCTGGTGGGTTTGAACCACCAGTCTTTTGGTTAACAGGCAGATACCTTAGGCAGTATACCACCAGAGCTCCCTTATTTAGACTATTGACGTTAAATATCTCTTTCTTCAATAGCTGTTCGGTTTGGTCGTATTCCTAAGCGTGAAAAACAGAGGATGCTAATTGAAATGCAAAGTGCGATGAAGACCATGATGAACAGCCAGTTCAGTGGTCACTTGCAGAATGACACGTTAGTAGAACATCATGAACAGACAGTATTGCCAGCCCAGGAACAGCTGCGACCCAAGCCTCAGCGGGAGCAAGACAATATCAAAAGCTCTTCTCCGTCTTCTGATTTTGCAAAGGAAGAAGTGATTGGCATGGTGACCAGAGCCCACAAGGATACCTTTATGTATAATCAGGAGCAACGAGAAAACTCAGCTGAGACCACTCAGCCCCAGAGAGGAGAACGGGTTCCCAAGAACATGGAGCAGCATAACTTAAATCATGACCATTGTGGCAGTGAGCTTAGCAGCCATTTTTCCTGTAGTGAGAGCCAGCAGCATCTCAATGGACAATACAAAGGGAGGAACATAATGCATTACCCAAATGGACATGGCGTTTGTATTGCAAATGGACATTGTATGAACTTCTCCAATGCTTATCCTCAAAGAGTATGTGATAGAGTTCCAGTAGATGGATTTTGTCAGAATGAGAACAAGACTAGTTACCTGTGCAACACTGGAGGGAGAATGCACCTGGTATAGTGAAATCAATTATTTTGCTCACTTTGAATCAAGGAAAGCTTTGAAGGTTTTCTCTATTTCAGGGGATATACCAGTTTGGGGGTGGAGTGTTAGAAGTAAGAGATGTACAAAATCAGTTGTGTGGGATTTTAGGTCAAGTAATTGTAATAAACATCAGGTGGTGAATGATGTTAAATATTAAGGTAAAATTTTAATCATGCAGAATTGGTTCTTTAATTCTTGGCAATCTCTTTCACAATTTAAGCATTTTGATTAATCAGTATCTTAGTAGCTTTGGGATTTCCTCAAAGAACTGATCTTTTAGCTTGCCATAGTCAGTAGTTCTTTGATTTTTAGGTAAAGAGCTTGCTTTCATTGTTATATTACAAAAATGTTTTTGGATATACAACATAGGTTTTATTGTTTGGGAATTTAGAATATTTTAATTTCATAGGCTAATTTCTATGAAGATTTTCTCAGATTTCATCCTGTGAGTTAATGTTACTTATATCAGTCAAGTTTTTTTTTTTTTCATCAAATACAACATTACACATGGAATTCCAGTATTTATAGTCAACCAAAATTTCATCAAAAACAGCAGTACTGCACCATTTCGAGTTTAAACCATGAGGCCCCTTGATAGCGCTTGGTATTTTCTATAGCCAGATAATTAAAGTCATTTTTTTTTTTCCTTTTCAAAGTTGTCATCTCTATCCCAATCTTTGTGTTAGACTTTTTTTTTCCTTTGTGATTATTTGATTCCACGAATCTGAAAGGTAACTTGTATTTTATTAGACTTAGTGACTGCCTTAAGAGTGGGATAATCTGTAAGCATTTAGGTCCTTTTTTTGTGATATTCTCCATGGTTATAGAATCATCCTGTTTTTGGATCTTCTGTAGATTTAGATTTAAAGGCTGATTACTTATAGAGTATATGGTGCATGTTTCATAATCTTTTTAGTTTTCTCAAAATTTCTTTGGCTTCCTACAACACCCCCTCCCCCAATTCCTCATTGAGAAGTGTACCTTGTATCTCTAGTTATTGTCTCCAAATTGAACAAGTGGAAGTCAGTGGTCACCCCATTGTTTATGAAATAGTGACCTTTTTGAAAAAGTGAGGTACTTCACTATGTTTGCCTTTCCTTTGAGAAATTATAGCATTGTAATTCTCCTTATTTAGAAAAAAAAAATTAGTCTTGGAATATTAACTAGATATGGATTCAGGTCCTAGGCTGATGACTTTTATGTTTGGCTCAGTCACTAAACCTCTTAAGAGTCTCATTTCTTCATCATAGAAATAGTAATTATAATATCTGCCATAACTAAACTCACAGCATTGAGAATCAAATACATATGTGTGAATTTGTTTTGAAAATTGTAAAGCACTACATGCCAGTGATGAGGCAGTGTTACAAAATTAACTCTTAAACCTGTGCAGCAAGTTTTTAAAAAAGCTTGTTATAGATGGCATTTTTGCTTAAACCAAACCAATTCCATTTCCATTGAGCTATGTCTGACTCATGGAGACCCTGTGTGTTGCAGAGTAGCTTTCTTGGCTGTAATCTTTATGAAGATGATTGCCAGAATTGCTATTTAAATTAGGTTACCGTAAGTCTTTCTGTAGTAAGTTGAGTAGCAAATGGAGAAAGTGCTAATAATAGATTTTCTTGTACTTGGGGGTTATTTTCGTGTTGGGAGTTTCTGATAATTGAGATGATGTTTTGAAATTCCTTTATCATCTCTCACAACTTAAGAATGTTTCTGTTTTGTGTATTCTAGGTTTGTCCAATGAGTAAGTCTCCGTATGTGGATCCTCATAAATCGGGGCATGAAATCTGGGAAGAATTTTCTCTGAGCTTCACCCCAGCAGTGAAAGAAGTGGTGGAATTTGCAAAGCGTATTCCTGGGTTCAGAGATCTCTCTCAGCATGACCAGGTCAACCTTTTAAAGGCTGGGACTTTTGAGGTATGCTTTGTTTATCCTTAATATTGATTCAGGGCATGTGGTATTGTCATGAAATTTTTCATTATGCTCTAATAAGTATTCAGCAATGCAGAAGAAGAGGGAAGGAATACACAGAGTCATAGTATCAAAAACAGTTGGTTGACGTTTAACCATTTGAGAATGTAGCGTATGATAAAGAACCAAGGGTGTCAAAGGAAGACGTTCAGGCTACACTGGAGGAATTGGTGAAAAACAATGTTCTGGGAATTGACGGAATACCCACTGAAATGTTTCAACAAACAGAAGCAGCGCTGGAGATACTCACTTATTTATGCCAGGAAGTCTAGAAGATAACTACCTGGCCAACTGACAGGAAGAGATTTATATTTGTGCCCATTCCAATGAAGGGTGATCCAACAGAATATGGAAATTATCGAACAATATCACTAATACCACATGCGAGTAAAATTTTGCTGAAAATAATTCAAAAATGGTTGCAGCTGTATATTAACGGAGAACTGCCAGAAGCTCAAGCCTGATTTAGAAGAGGGCATGGACAAGGGCTATCATTGCTGATGTCAGATGGATCTTGGGTGAAAGGAAAGAGTACCAGTTGTGTAAATATACTTGTTTTTTTAATTTTTATTGTGAATTGGGTGATAGTTTACAGAGAAAATTCATTTTCCATACAGCAGTTCATATTCATTTTGTTCCATGACATTGACTGCAATTTCCCACAGTATAACAGCTCTCTTCCTACTTTCTCCTGTAGTTACTCTTCCCTGTGTGCTTTCCTGTGAGTCCCTGCTCCCCACCCCCAAGCTGTCTACCTGTACAAACACAGCCCTTCTGTTCTCCCTTGATTGATCACTCTAAGGAATTACCAACCTCTAATGTAAATGTTCACCCTATATGCCTATATATTGTTTGGCTGAAAGCCACAAGAGTGAGTTCAGTTCCAGACCTGAAGGATAACTAGGGGTCACAGTCTTGAGGGTCTCACAGGCTATATTAGACCAGTAAACCTGGTCTTGTTTTTAATTTTTTTATAATTTTGAATTTTGTTCCATATTGTTCTGCCACTCTATCCAGGATCTCCTGCTCTGATCCCCCTCCAAGTGTTTGACAGTGGTAGCCGGCACCGTCCAGTTCTTCTGGCCTTATGGTCATATAGGGTGAGGTTCACATGGTCTACTAGTCCCTTGGACTAATTGTTCCCATGAGTCTTTGTTTTTCTTCATTCTTCTTTGCTCTGGATGAAGAGAGACCCATTGTTGCATCCAGATGGCCATTTCTAAGCTTTTAAGACCTCAGTCACTGCTTATCAAAGTAGGATGTAGAACAATGTTTTTTTTGTAGTATGTTATGCCAGTTGAGCCCGATGTCCCCTGTGACCATGGTCCTAAGCCCACAGGTCCATCTGCTCACTCCCTCAGGGTGGTTGGCTATAGCCAAGAAGTTATCAGAACTTTGTATCTTGTTAGCTCTGTTGTATATTTGGACATCATTACAGCACATACAAATATCTATGTGGAAATAAGGATATTTACATATATTTTATTGATTATGCAAAGGCATTCAGCTATGTGGATCATACAAATTATGGGCATTATGGCAAAGAATGGGAATTTTAGAACATTTAATTGTGCTCATGAGAAACTGTATATAGAACAGGAGGCAGTCATTCAAACAGAACAAAAGGATACTGCATGGTTTAAAATCAGGAAGTATGTACATCAGGGTTGTATCTGTTCACCATATTTATTAAGTCTGTATGCTGAGCAAATAATCTGAGAAGCTGGACTGTATTAAGAAGATTGCACCATCAGGATTGGAGGAAGACTCATTAACAACCTGCAGTGTGCAGGTGACACAACCGTGCTTGGTGAAAGTGAGGAGGACTCGAAGCACTTAATGATGCAGATGAAAGACTGGTCTTCAGCATGGATTACACCTCAACATAAAGAAAACAAAAATCCTCACAGTTGGACCAATAAGCAACATCATGATAAATGGAGAAAAGATTGAAGTTGTCAAAGATTTCATTTTATTTGGATCCACAATCAGTACCCATGGAAGTAGTGGTCAAGAAATCAGATGTCGTATTGCACTGGGAAAATCTGTTGCAAAAGACCTCTTTAAAGTGCTGAAGAGCAAAGATGTCACTTTAAAGACAGAGATGCACCTAACCTGAACCATGGTGTTTTCAGTAGCTTCGTATGCATATGAAAGCTGAGCGATGAATGAGGAAGACTGAAGAAAAATTGATGCATTTGAATTGTGGTATTTGTGAAGAATATTGAAAATGCTGTGGACTGCCAGAAGAAAGAACAAATCTGTCTAGGAAGAAATACGGCCACAATGCTCCTTAGAAGTGAGAATGGCCAGAGTTTGTCTCACATACTGTGGACATGTTGCCAGGAGGGACCAGTCCTTGGAGAAGGATATCATGTTTGATTACAGTAGAGGATCAGTGAAAGATGGGAAGACTCTTAATGAAATGGTTTGACACAGTGGTTGGAATGATGGGCTCAAGCATAAGCAATGATTGTGAGGATGGTGCAGGACTGGGGAGTGTTGATGTTCTGTTGTACATTGGGTCACTGTAAGTCAGAACCAACTCGACGGCACCTAACAACAATAACAAGTATTTATCATCCAGAGACTGAAACTACAAGCAAAAGATTGAACATGCTGGCATCTTGAGAAGAGACTAGGTAAATTCAGAATTATTTAGGACTTGAAATAAGGTGCTCTGTGTTGCCAGCATGCCCAATTCCAAGTTCCTAATACTGCTTTCAGGTGTGGACTTTGCCATTTCTGCACAGTGTTAGATATCTACTAATAAGCATAGTCTGGTGTTTACTATGCTCAATAAGAATAAGAAGGGTGAATAGAATGTGGTTTTGTGGTTTTTGTTTTAGAAGATTACAGGGTATTTTTGAAAATGTATCAGATGCTTCTTAATGTGTTACTGCTGCTACCTTGGATCCTCAGGGCCTCACATTACTTGAGGATCCTTGGCTACATTTGCTACTCCAGCTTCTCTTGCATTCTGCCCAGACTGGGAATAGCCATGGCCTTGGGACAGCCACTGCAACCAACTTCTGTGGGACACAATCAGATAGTGTCCTACTGAAATTGATAGCAGTGGCTGTCCCACTAAGGTGTGAGAAACCTCAGAAACTGCTCAGAATTCACTTATGCACAACCCAGAAATGTGAGGTGGTGAGTAGGGAGTTGATAACTGGTAGGCCATACCTCTGAATCTTTGTTCATAGGTGGAAGGAGGATGTGGTACCAGGGGATATATGTTCACTTCTCCCTGGATTGTATCAAGTTTTAGCCTGCTCAGTAACACCCCTGAATATTTGCTGTCCTTCCTTCCCTTCCTCATTTCTTTTTCCCCTCACCCCTGTTTCCTCCTAAGCTAGTGCATATATTGCGTAAGCTTTTGCCTCTGGCTATTTTCTAGGTATCTTAGACTGTGAGTTGGAAATGACTGGACTACAACCGTTTTGTTTTTGGTTAAGCTAGGATAGGAAGCTCTGGTAGCGTAGTGCCTAAGGCACTTGACTGCTAACCAGAAGGCTGGTGGTTCAAATCCATCAGCCACTCCTTGGAAGGAAGGTTAGGCAATCTACTTGGGCAGTCTGCTTCCATGGTGATAGCACCTCGCAAACCTAAGGAGGGGTTGCTATGAGTCGGATCCGACTCAATGGCACATAACAACAACAACAGGATAGAGAATAATACATAGTCATAAATAAAACAGCTATGGAGTAAATTCAAAGGTAGTGCCTATAGGTATTTTCAGTTGGAAGGAAAACATTAGACTTAAGATTCAAACCTAGAAGGGACATTAGTAATTTGAGTTTATTTCATTCATTTTGGAGGTTAGGTAACTATGGCCTAGAGAGGTTGAAAAGACTTTCTTGGATGACCATAAATTCGTAACAGCATATCCAGAACTACAGCACAGGTCTCTGAACTCGAGGACTTGTGTTCTTCCCAGTTCTGATTTATATTGAGATTGCTGTGTTCTAGAGTTAGCCCTATCTTCATAGAAAGTGTACTCTATTTTGGGTAAAACAAGTCTTTCGTTTTATTCACTGTTCCTCTGGTTATGAAGGGAATGTGTGGCATAGATGTTCACCATTTGGTATACTGGAGGAAGTGCTTTATGTAAGCAATATATGATTGTTAAATTACTTGATTTTATTTCAGTTATAACTAGTGTTTAGAGCACTTTTATTGTAATAGTTTATCTGTAATCTCTTTGGCTTATGGGATCTTGTAACGGTCTATTAGGATCTATCTGGTGTGTAACTTTGGCTGTATTTTAATGTTTCAAAGTATTGGTGCATTGAAATGCTGCTCTTTTTGCATAGGGCAGAGAGACCATGTGACATACTTGATAGCCTGAAGAGTTTCTTTAGTGCCTTTATGCCAGGACTTGGTTTCAAACTTCTTTAATTCTGTATTTGCATTTCAGAATCTTTATTAATAAAGTTTCAGAGTATCACAAGACTCAAGTATTCTGCCATTGGTGACTGAAATTTCTTTTGATGTTCTTGGATATTTATTACCTTGTGTAAAGACTTTGTCTTAAAATAATTCTGGGTAAAGATAAACTTAGTTTTTCTTTTATAACTTTCTTTCATACGTAGAATGTTACTTTCTTTCATACATAGAATGTTTCTTAATTGACTTGAACACTGAGTTACTTCTTTAGTAGTATTAATGAGCTTCTCTAAATACATTTAAGTCTTTCTTTTTTTTCAGGTTTTAATGGTACGGTTTGCATCATTATTTGATGCAAAGGAACGTACTGTCACCTTTTTAAGTGGAAAGAAGTATAGTGTGGATGATTTACACTCAATGGGAGCAGGGGATCTGCTAAACTCTATGTTTGAGTTTAGTGAGAAGCTGAATGCCCTCCAGCTTAGTGATGAAGAGATGAGTTTGTTTACAGCAGTTGTCCTGGTGTCTGCAGGTAAGAAAGCTGGTTCAAAATTGCAACACCTAGGTTATGGTTACCAGCAGAGGAGGAGGTTGCAGTTCCTGGGGTTTTGGCAAGCAGTATAGAGGGGAGTGGCTTTAAGAAAGAAGCTAAATTATGTGAACCTATTTTTACATAATTGTTTTTTTCATCATGATAGTAAAAGTGGTATAGTGGTACAAGAATGTTTATATCAGAGTCTTGGATTTACCATTCTTAGACTTGAGCTTTTGTTCATAATTTTTTAAGAGTCAGAATCTTTTCTTCATGGATTTATATTTTGGAAAATTGCATGACTTTAGGCAGATGATAGTAATATGAATCTAAGTTTAACTAAACTATATTGTGGGTTATTCAGAAATGGTAGCAGTACCTAGAGGTGTAAATGGGGTTCGTTAACAGAGATCAAAATATTAGGAGCTGTAGGGTTTAGCTCAGCTCTGCCACTGAAATTTATGTGAGACTCGGGTAAGTAATTTTATCCTTTTGGGTCTCAATTTCCTCATCTTGTTAAAAGAAGTGGTGAGCCTACCACAGAATCTGTCATGGAATAGATAACCAGTCACTGTGTGAATGAATGATTAAGATTTTGAGTGCTAACAGCTAATGTTTATTTTTATGAGTCTCTGATGGTGTTTCCCAAGTTTCCTGCCCTCTTGCATTTATAGTGTAGTTATTTCTTACCAAAGTATTTCAGGGCAGACAAGTAGCCATTAAGGCAGAAATTGTTACTCTCAATAACAAATTGCTAATTGAGACCCAGTAACTTTCCTAGGAACAACCAAGCAAGTGTCAGCCATTTTTAGGTATCACTAACTTTTTTTTTTTTTTTTTTTTAACTATTTTAAAACCTTTGTTGACAATTTTCTAATATTTTATTATGACTTGCTTTAAGTTTCCTATTTAAGTGCTTCCTATTCTGTAAAGCACATTGTACTAGGCACTGTGAGAGTTATAAAGTTTAACCCTTTCATGACCCTTGGGACATATGGTACCAACCTACATTTCCACTACATAGAAATTTAGTGGGAAGCTGCTATTCCACTTTTAATGCATGCTTCCATCTGGTGGAGGCCTGTATTACTGCTTGAATCTGAGGAAATGAGCTTCATTTTACCAATCCCAGCACTAGAGACCCCTTGGGACATATGTGTCCCACTAAAATCCATATTACCTCAAAAAAACTTCTTTTCCATTTCATTCAAAATGCCATCCATTACTGAAAACACATGGTTTCAACAACAAATTGAAACCAGGAAATAATCCAGTTTTGAAATGCTTAAGATACGCACCCTGATTGTGTGGCTTACATGTATATCAGTATTATAAATGAAGACTTAGGACATTTTGAAGCATAGTTTAGCTACTTTTTCTGACTATATCTACCTAGGTAGCTAAAAATCCATTTATGACATGGGAATAGTATGAAGGGATTATGTCAGTAAGGGATATCTGTTTAATTAATACCCTTGTATCTTTTGGGAGCTCTGGTAGCATAGTGCCTAAGGCATTTGACTGGTAACCAGAAGATTGGCAGTTCAAACCCACCAGCCACTCCTCGAAAGGAAGATTACGCAATCTGCTTCTGTAGAGATACTGCCTCGGAAACCCAAGGACAGGTTGCTATGAGTCAAAATTGACTCAACGGCAGTGAGTTTGGTTTTTTTGGTTTGGATAGTATCTTTTGCAGTTTGCCTGCTGTTTTACAGTGTCTCTTGATTAGTAGTTAATATTGGTTTAAATTGACAACATATTGATAAACCTACCACTGTGAAGCCAAAAGTAATCAATAATTCATTTCTTTACTCCTCAATATATGCTAGGTGAAGACAAAAAGACATTAAGGCACAAGATTGATATGAAAGTGTTTATGTTCATTTGAAGAGACAGAGCTAATGTAAAAAGCTTTATGGTGCTAAACTGTGATTCTAAATTAAGTACAGAAAGGAAGAGGAAGCCATCTTAGGAGGCTTTATGGGGAAGATGGGAGTGAAGCTAGACTTTGAAGGATGGATTGTTAGTGTTTTTTTTTGGTGAAGAAAATGTGGAGAGGCATGTAGGGCATGAGATAAAGTAGTGGGAGGGGCAGGTGGTCAGACATGGATTTGGGGAGGAGGGGTAGAAAAGACTTGGCGAATTAGAGGAGCCCCAAGTTATGGAATGAAAGCTGTGAGAGCTATGCAGGGAGGTGTACTACCTGAAATACGGGGCAGCAGAAAGTTAGTGTGACTTCTTAAGTAGGGGAATGATCAGGTATGAACAAATCAATGCTTTAACATTAGTTCTACATTTTTATCCTTGGGCATTATCAGGGCTGGAGAGTCATGCGAAGAGGCTATTGAAATAATATGAGATGTGAGGTAGTGGAATAAACTCTGTTAAACTAGGTTATAGCAGGGGAGATGAAGACGGAACCAGAGATAGTTCAGAGAAGAAGTGCGGGGGAAAGGGGTAAAAGGGAACTGTTTGCCATGAACTATGCTATTCATTTCTGTCTTCTACCAGAAATATGATTTTTATGTTGTTTCTCTCTCCTTAGGAAAATCCTTTTTTCCCTGATGATAAGAATATAGGTTCTTAAAAAAAAAAAAAAAAGAATAATATGGGTTCTTTAATGTAGATTCTTACAAAGTCCAGACTTACTGAACCAGTTGAGACTAGACCCTCTGAGATTGTTGCTCTGAGATACTCTTTAACCTTGAACCGAAATTATCTCCTGAAGTCACCTTTTAGTTAAATAACAGGTTGACACATAAAATAAATGATATCACCTGTGAGTACTGCTGTCTTTTGAAAAATCATCTATATGAGGCCAAATAGTCAACACTTACTCCAAAGCAAAGATGAGATGGTAGAAAGTCAGGGAAATGAGGTTACTGAAATGGAACACCAGAATAGAAGTGAAAAAAATGTTGAGGCATTGTGAAGAAAGTAACCAGTGCCAGTAAACAATTTGTATAGAAATTGTTGTTGAATCTATTTTACTGTGTAAACTTTCACCAAAAATACAATATAATAGTATAGTTCTTTAAAAATTAGAATATACTAAGATGAAAACAGAGACGATAATATCACCACCAAAAGAAAATCATATTAACATTAGGAGTCTCTTATCTTCCCATTCACCTGTCCATTAATTTATCTATTCATCTGTGTATATGATGTATGGTATGTGGAAAAAATGTCTCTGTATGAAGAAAGGAACTCTGGTGGCACAATGCCTAAGGCACTGACTCCTAACCAGAAGGTTTGCAGTTCAAACCCACCAACTTTTCCATGGGAGGAAGATGAGATAATCTACTTCTGTAAAGATTTACCACCTTGGAAATCCAATGGAAGTTGCTGTGAGTCAGAATCAACTCAGTGGTGGTGGGATTGGTTTTGATTTTATATATGAAAAAGGTCCCTGAGTGGTGCAAACCCATTTGCACTGAACAGCTAACCTAAACACTGGCGGTTGGAACCCACCTAGCAGTGCCATGGAAGAAAGGCCTGGTGATCTGTTTCCATAAAGAGTATAGCCATGAAAATCTTATAGGGCAGTTCCCATCTGTAGCACATGGGGCTGCCATGAGTCAGAATCAACTTGACGTATTGAGCTCTTTTGAAAAACACATAAAGGTGAGGGCAGTGGTGATTTAGTGGTAGAATTCTTGCCTTCCATGTAGAAGATAATTCCTGGCCAGTGTACCTCAAGCACAGCACTATTCACCTGTCAGTGGAGGCTTCCATGCTGCTAAAGAGGTTTTAGCAGAGCCTCCAGATAGAGAAAGAGTAGAAAGAAAGGCCTAGTGATTTACTTCTGAAAAAAAGTCAGTGAAAACTATGGATTACAATGGTTACATCCTATTGTACATGGGATCACCATGGGTTGGGGCCAACTTGATGGCAGGTAACAACAACAATAATACATATGAAGATATATAAATGCATACATATATATATGTAAATGTATGCATTTTTAAAATAAGGGTTTTTTTTTACCTATATATATGATAGTTTTCATATCAAATAAAAATCTTTATCAGTTAAAAAGGGTTATTATTAATTCAAAAATCTAGACAGGGAAATAAAATTAAAAACTTCAGTTAGATATAAAATCCCTTTCTTCTTCTGCTTCCCAGTCTTATTCTTTAGAGAACAAGATTCTAGCTATCTGTCTTTTTGTCTGGTGGTTGCCCACCCAACTCTAAATAATGTGCTTATACTTTTTTTTAATTTAGTAAACATAAATGTTAAATTAAAAATATGTCTCACTTTTGTTGTTTTTGTCATGTGCCGGCGAGTTAGACTTGACTCATCGGGACCCCTCCTTGGGTTTCCGAGGCATTATCACTATGGAAGTAGATTGCCCCATCTTCCTTCCGAGGAGTGCCCACCAGCCTTCTGATTAGCAGTCAAGTGCCTTGGGCACTACACTATCAGAGCTCTCACCTTTACCTCTCAGTTTTTTTCATTTATTGGTTATATTAGTAATTTTTAATATACTCACATTCTTTGATGTTTCAATTTTATGTAATTTCTCTTACATAGTTTAGATAGAATTTTCTCATTATACAGGGAGACAGAATTCTCCTTCCTCCCTATCCTTGCTTCTTTAGCTATACTATTCTTTTTACATCATCAGAAATTCAACAGTTACATTCTAGTCTATAAATTGGTTGTTTTCCACCCTTTTTTTAATTGGTTGATTGATTCTACAAATTGAAAATAAAAAACCAGCATTTACAGTATTATGATTATGTAAGTCATGTTCACTGTAGAACCTACACACTGGAATTGAAATATTAGAAAAGGTGCCCTCAGTCTCTGCCCTGAATCTGTGCCACCTGAAGGGGGGAATGCTCCTAGCATCAGATAACAATTTTTTTTTATATTCTCCATTAATTGCTTTGAATTAAGCTACATTTTATAGACCTCAAGATGAAAACCAGCATAAGGGACAAAGAAGGGCACTAAATGATGTTAAAAGGGTCAATTGACCTAGAGAGCAT